AATACAAAGAGCAACAGGTAGCACAAGCTGGTATTGAAGGTGCTCGAGATACAATGCAAAATAATAAAGAATGGGATAAGCATCGAGAAATCAATGCTGTTCGTTGGGTGGAAGCTCCACGACGTCGGTCACCGTCGCCATCACGAAATCATTCGAAATATTCGCAAAAGTATCTGCATAATGATCGCGAAAGAAGTGGCCCGGCATCATGTAAATCAAGGTTTTATGATGATAGTCAAGGACAGTCTACATGTCTAAATAGTCATGATAAGATTTATATCGATCGTTATTCAACGGTCACTGACAATAGAAAACATGGCAGAAAAGCAACAGTAGGTGACAGTTTGTCTGGTGACTACGGCGGTAGAAACCGACAATTGTGTAACTCGGCAACATCAGAAAAAATAAGTTCTGTTGCATCGAGTCAGAGTTTTCCTTCTGGTAACGTACGATCGTGTGTAGCATCATATCCTTATAACGCTGGTGGATCAGAGTATTCAACAGTGGATGGTGGGTCGTACTATTCAACGGTTGGTGGTGGAAAATACTATGGTCAAGAGTCGAACGACTGGGATCGACAACGAGACAGACATTCATCAAACTCGGTTTTTAATAATTGTTGCGGCATTCGTGATTCGCGCGGAAAGTGCTCAGGTTACACCTATGGATCAGTATATGAACAAGAGCAAACCAAAATTCAAGTAACGTTACCAGATAACGAAGCACGATCACATCATAAATATGCCCAAGAACAAGAGTCTAAGTTACAGGTAAGACGGCAAGACTTAGTTAATGAACAACAACTGTTGATGAGTTCAATGACGTCACTGTTAGAACAGTTGAAAAAACAAGTTGCTGAATTACGTTCAATTAACAAAAATTATAATATTATTGAACGAAATCGTAATGTATTAATCTTATTCCGCGATGAGATTAAATATATGGGTGATGGTCCAGAAATGTTACGCTACTATAATGATACAGTGGCTATTTTATCCAACTAGATAAGGATAATCGAACATGAGAACTTTAACAAGAGTATAGTAATATTTTGGTAATTAAGACAACAACTTATTTTGTTGCCCTATTAACGAAGTTTCGGTCAAAATAAACTGAAGAAGAGCAATTTATTGACATGTGCAATTCTTATAATACTTTTTTTCGGAATATGTCTGCTGAAAAAAAGACTTCAGCACCATTCCTACAAAATAAAAATGTGAAACATGACATTATTGTGCCCATAGAGGATTTGAAAAACAAGAAAAAAATAGCAATCTTTCGCAGAACATGAGTGTAGTCTAAAAATCCTTCGCCATGCCTCTGAAGGTCTGTGCACGTGGCTGAGCGAAACCCCTTGCTCTCCACTGTCACGGAGAGAAAGTGGGTCCAAATCAATCTTGCTATGTTTCAGCGCTCCTTCGAGGTAATATTTCACAAAAAGATCCGAACTACAGCCTAATTTGAACAAGTTTTGCTTAATTCTTCTGCTTAATTTGTATTTCTTCTCCGAAAACCATAGTTTTCTGGCTCTGATCGGCATTTTATGATTTTTAATGCACAAACTGATTACTTTTCATGCTATTCCACTGTTTCACATACTTTGCTATATAACAGGAATACAAACATGCAGAATAACAGTAATAAAATAGAGAATATATGTTGAATCTTCATTTATGTTGGTATTTGATATCCTACGATGTGGTAGAATTGATGCACCCACTGCAGAGTTGGCTGAAAAACAGTTTTAATACTCCAACATACGTTTGATCTTGAGAATATGCTTTGACTGAACACCAGAAACATCGAAATAATTTTAATGCACTTTTTCGTTCAACAAAATGTATATGCGATTCCGATATTAATTTTATTATTTTATCAAAGCTTTGATTGGTTCGCGAACGAACAAATACCTCTTGATTGCACCAAAGACCTTCTTTTGCATTTAGTCCGCAATAATATTTAGGACAGAATATAATCTTAATTTTATATTTAATCGTTTCAGTTCGACTAAACCTTTTGACTATCTTTGTTTCCTCCGCGTTGGAAATAATAATCAATAACTTTTTTGCGCCATTTTCATCGACATACTCAATTCGTTCAACCGGACAACGGGTACTAACATTTTTACTAAAATCTTGTAATGAATATGACCTAGCAGTGTGGGTTTCTGCGTTGTCGCCAATGATTTCGATCTGATTATTTTTGTAATCTTGTTTAAATTCGAGCATTTAAAATAGCCTTTCGAACTGAGCTAGGATTGTGTCATTATCGAAATAGGCATCTGTTCCAATATTAATGCTGGCTGTTGCTGTTAGATCAAGATAATTCATAGTGTATCTGTGAGTAATGGTATTTTTTACCACGAACGGTCGAGAACATTATTTTTTCGCCTGAATAACTGAGGATGCAACTGGAATGTACCTCAAGTTCGAAACCCGACTAGTCAGTATTTAAAACATTATGCTCTTTGTAGCGTGAAAGAGTGCTCGTACGTCGGCCACGAACAGATTGGCCTCGTTGTCCACTTGCCGCTTTGTCACCGTCTAAGTTTAAAAGGTTGTTCTCCAAAGTTCTCATGTGCTTCTATTTTTCGTAGTCGAACACTTTATTAGCGAACTGCTTCTTCAGGACATCAGTTATCTCTTCGTATCATTTTTACGAAGCTGGAACCAGTTCTCGCTCTTTTTTATAAGAACGAGTCAGTTAGTATGACAAGATGCGCAACATGGCATGAGCTCTTTTCTAAGTTTTGACTGATAAAATCATTCCAACATCGTCTTTAATGAACGTCAGAACTATCCTTCGTTATTTTACGCGATCAAATATCATGTTTGTGTTTAGAATTGAGTACCCAAGTGTCGGACATAGCAAATTCGTTTAATGACACTGATCTTGTTTATTGATAGACCCATCGTTTCAAATCAATGTTGTGAACAGCACAAAGCATAGGATGAGGAATTCTTATTCGTAACGACTCCAAAATTCTTACTATCTTCACTGTCCATGACGAATCTAAGCTGTTTCGAGAAAAAAATCAACTTATCTAGATGCCTACGTATTCGAGTTCCTGGTGTCGAAAACGAACCCCAACTATGATGGGTTAGCCTAAAACCTATGATGGTATTAACCTAAAACCTAAAAAGTTGTTATTACCCTTTAAATACCTTTATTGGCTTAGTAAAGACGTATTTCATCTCGATATAGGTATCTAAGAGCCGCTGAGCATCTGCAACATGAACAGGGTGTGAGGAACCTATATTTCCTCTAATTATAAGTCCTTGAGTTGATTGTATGCGTGCGTTAAGATCTGTAGTATTACTCTTTTATTCGACTACTCTTTATCACAAACTACAAAAAACTAACTCTAACCGAAGAAAAACATTCAATATATATTTGCTACTGCATGTACAAAAGATAAGAACAGCGAAAGAAGAAAGCCAAGAAAGAGCGAAAACAGACAAGGGAGAGAACGAAACAAAAGGGAGTAGTCCTAGCGACAGAAGTACGTACTGGAAGAAGAGGTTGTGACAAAGAATCGTCACATACTTTTTTTTCGTCACATGCTTTTATTTTGGAAATAATAAAAGTACATGTACTTTTCACTTTTTGTAGAGTCACAGTATTCACACTTTTCCAGTACATCTAACACTACCTTCTTCAGCCATCTTGTGTTGCACAACACTAATTTATGTTTTCAGTGTAGCCTGACGAAGCAGTAGCACCTAAAAAAGGAAAGGCATAATGAAAAAGCCAAACTGTCTTTCTACTAAATGTACTCACCTCCGGATGTACCGGCATCGCCAGGTGTCGTGTTACTTGGTCGACTGCCGCCATAACTGCCTAAACCACCTTGAACGAAAACTGAAAATGTAAAATATTATATACTTCTGGTGGATAAATCTCTCAGCTGAAATCCCTATTGCCATTTCTTTTTACCTATGAAGTCCGGTGCTGATTATAAAACAATGCTTGATCAACCACAAAGAAACAAAAAATAACAAAAACAGACAAACAAAAACGAAAACAAAAAAAAAAGATACGCGGAATGATGTAGTTAATGTTCTAATCGAGGGAGATGAGTTCGGGCGTGATGCACGATGACCGAGGAGGTGGAGAGGTGACGGGGACGCGACGGTTCGGTTGTGGAGTGCGCGGCGTGGTATGAAGATGAATAAGATGGATGATGCGGTGGTGAATTGTCGTGCAATTGGTTGTGAGGTCGAGAAGAATATCGCGTGAACGGTGAATGCGTGACGAAGAATACTGGTTCGGGGAAAACGGTGGTGCCAAATATGTGGCGGTAACGCCTTGTTGTAGGTGCAGAACGGATTGAGCGAGGTGTGACGTGATGGTAACGAGAAACGAGACAGTAAAGAGAAGTTCGCCGACGTCGTCGGCAGATGCTGGAGCTGTAATTGGAGGTGAAGAAGCGGAAGTGGATACAGGCACTGATGACGTGGATGAAGATGATGTGAGATGAAGGGTTGGTAAAATAACGTAGAAGAGATGGACCAGCGAGCGATGGAAAGATAATGACGAGAATGATGATAATGAAGATAATGAGTGAACGATCAGAATTCGGTAATAATAGAA